GATAAGTTTTGATTTGGTGTCCCACCTCAGAACAGTAGGATGTGCAAGTTCCTTTTATCTTTTTAACGCTAATATATTTACTATACCAAAAGAACCCGAGTTCTCATAGCAACTTCATATCAGGCCTGCTATCAGAATCAAAGGTGAACATTTGGCAGAAGTGTGCTAACGAAATGCATGGCTTAATCATGCTTGAATCCTAGTGTATTAATGATTGTTTAAACCATATGTACATATTAGGTAGGCGCCACTTATATTTTGTGGAGTAAGAGTATTTTAAATTTGCGGTTGGTATGCGACAACCTTGAATAGAAATAGACCCCAAAGTATAACTTTTGGTTATAGTAAAGAAAGCAAATAACTCCTCAAACTAGCACTTTATTACTTTGTCAATATTCTGAAAGTCACTGTGAGGGCAGTTTATCATATGTTTCTCATAACTTGGACCACAATGAAATACTGTCTGTTTGATATGAGCAGTTCTTGTCGAAACTTCCGTGTGACCATTTTTAACATTTGTGTCTATACACGCAGGCCCAGGATGTCGGAATGCTTACAGAATACCACAACTACATTACAACGTCCTTGGTAAGTGTCATCCACTTTCGCAGCCACTAGAGAGCATTCTGAGGCAGACGCCTGCACTGTTAGTTAAAGGGGCCCCTGAAAACTTTTTTCCAAGTAGCCTCCGATTCGATGCAGTGAAGAAGGTTATTTCCTCACAAATTAACTATTGAAAAGTTTTTAGAACTCGTTCAGTAAGCGCGGAGTTACAAAGATTTGCTGCACGCTGCATTACACATCTCACTGTTTGCGAATCAGTGTGACGACATTGCGTGCACCTAACCCACCAGCCCCTTTCTCGGAGCAGGTGCTGTTTGGAAAGAAAGTGGTGCGGGCGGGAGCTTTCAGCATGGCAGCGTTATGTGTCAGCACTCCTTCGATAGCAGTTTATGCGATGCTAATTTATGAAGTCTTGCTTTTAAAAGAAAGGGCCACTGCCTATAGTGCACGATTCTGTTAGGGTTAGCATGTGTATATTTGCTCGTCGTAGTTGACAGCCAATAATAAATTTTGTTCTCTTCGAAAGGAAACGAATGCAGACATGCAGTGTGAATGCGAGTCTGCATTCTCACTGCATGTGCGTTTTATGAATATTCACAGTGACTGGCTCTTCGAGAACTAATATTTTTATGGCATGGATGTAAACGTGACGGCATGTGCAACGCATGTGAATTTCTGTGACGGCATGTGAAATGCACTTTGAAAGGAGTGAAAGCACTGGCGGCAGCATGGTTTCGAGCTGCTCTCTGCAAGGTCAAGGATAAGATTCTCACTGACAGAAAAACGGCGGATTTGCGGGATCTCTTCCAGTATGGCGTAGTCGAAAAAAAGTACACAATTTGAATGTAACAACGGATTAGAAACATGCAAGTTTGAGGTTTTCTCTGGTTTGTAAAGGATTAGTTTTAGATAAAAAACTCCGCAAATGTATTTGACGGATGAAGTAGCCTTCATAGTGAATTTTTCAGGTGCATATCACTCTATTAGACATGCTCTCAAGCACGTAATCGAATCCAATATTAGCAAAGGAAAGTCCTTAACAAGACGATAATATATCTGGGTGAATTTGTGTGAAATATCCGGCAGATTCAAGCGCCTCGAAGTATTACGATTGGAAATTAGTTAACTCATGGGGGTACGTTGGATAACAATGAAAGTAGGAGATAGACAGGCGTAGAACTAAGGTGGAAGGCAGGCAGGCAAGTAAACCGGAGGATGAATGCCTACATTGCTAACCTGCACTGCGGAAAAGGTAAGGAGATGTGAATAGATAAAAAAATTACAATGATGCAATGTAATGGCTGAATGGCTTTGCAGGTAATAATTTCCTGAGAGCAGGCTACCGCTGTTTTGTAGGTACAATTATTAAATTACTTGTCATGTTTTTGTGACTAGAGTATACTCAAAGATATATTCTTGTTACTTCTGGGAAATGTTGCATTTACACTAACGTATCGCATTGAAGTATTGAGCCTAAATATTCTGGAGTTTATCTGAAAAATTTCCGCCTCGTTACCACATATATATGAAAACAATATCCAGGCTAATGAAATAATGCCTACATTCATGTATTTCTGCATATTAACTTAAGTACTACGTTCTCTTCTGCTTAGACGACTCATCATCAGTATAAATTGGTAATCATATTTTTACCAGTGATAATATTTTAGTATGGAACCACAACGTTACAAAAATCACGTCTTTATTACACACTTTTTCCCAAGCCACCCTCGTGTTAGCTTTACCTGTAAGATCTCGTGATGCTAAGATAAGAACGTGAATTTGAGTCCCAGCCATTTTGGCCACGTATCGGTGCGGGCTGACTTCAATAACACCCATAGATGCACTGGTGTACGTGTTAAAAAGCCCTGGGTGGTGAAAGTTATTTCCTACATTGGCGTTCTTGATGTGGATCTTGTTGTGACAGTTTTTTGCTGACCTCGCAACAGAATAGTTTTCGCTAAAGAACTTCGCAAATCTAATTGACGCAGGAGTTAGTCTTAAAACTGACACAAAATACCTCAATTATTCACATGCCCAATAATCACCGTAACTATCAGTATTACCCTTCCAAAAGCTATCCAAACCTTTTATTCTCAGAAATTTATCTGAAGCTTCTTGTGACTTAGTGCTAAATGTGCGTGACGGTCAGTGTCCCTTCCTAAAGCTTTCTGTCTACTTGCGTGAATCCGTGGAACTGACTCGCAACAGAATGTATCAAGTGGCAGATAATACCGTTGCCATAGCGACCCTGCTTTCTCGTTTGTTTGTTCTCCTCTGCCACAGGATCTGAACACGCTAGATCTGCGCTCCTTCTACAGCTCGCGATGCAACATGACCGGCTTCCGCATGGTGACCACCGAAGAGTCGCCTTCGTACTTGGGTCAGCTCGACGAGAAACCAATCAGTGGTATCGAGGACTCGCTGCAGCTGCTGTCTCCAAAGGCGCGGCAAATCTTTTCGAGCGTAAAGGTGGGTTGCACATCCTCAGTACGGCCAGTCAGATTGTGCATCTTTTTTCTGAGTCTGTTTAGAGGAAGCGCGATTGGTAGCAGCACAGCATCGCCTTGACGTCTGCTAAACATTCCGCTCATTCATGTTTCACCATAAATTCAATGGTGGGTTACCATCGCTAAGAAAAAGCACCAGACAAGGCGATTTACCGGCCCTTAGATTTTCGTGCTGCTCCTGAACGGTCACACCAGTTCGGCAAGCCGAAATTTTTAAACAGTGTAGTAAGTTTCCACTACTTGCCTAGGCAAGCAATGAGAATACCCAAATTTTGTAACTCATAGGTCACACTACAACTAGTTTCGAGAAAATAAATATATACTGTCACAAGAGGTGGCATTATGATCTACATAAAGGGCTGGCCGCCTCGAGCTTAATGATAGAAAAATTGACTACGTACTTTTTGTTTTAACAGCAAATCTCTTCTCAGTCGATTCTTCCATGTCTGGAAGCCGTCGCAGATCAACCCCACTACACATTTGTGCCACTCCTCTGAACAATCCCACTGCTCAGTACTCCCACAACAACACCCGCTTTTTATACTCCTGCCATTCCCACCACTCTACTCACCCTGGTCATCCCAACTTCATTCCAACTGCAGTCAAATCACACTTCGTTCATTGAGATCAAAAATCGTAGATCGGCAGATTGGCTAAAGTGAAAAGTTGAGCTCGTTGGTACCTAACTATGACACACTACAACGCAAAGACATCTACCAGTATCTGCGCATGCAACCATGAGGATTGCACTTTTACAGAATAAAAATGCAACATAATCTTCATCAAGTAAAAACACACCACCAATAATAATGAATGCGTTAGTAACCGCTACTTGACTATCAAATTGTGGTGAGGGCGAAAACTGAAATTATGTTTCAGCGTGAGAAAAGTCAATGAAAGTAGATGCGTTGAATTCCGTGTGTTCCAACGGGAATTATAAGTTTGCAAATTAAGCCCGAAAAAAGTGATACGATCGCATTTCAGTCAGAGACAGTTGTATAAGAACACCAAACTTTTCGTACAGTTAATTTATTTAGTTCTTTTTTAAAGCAATTCCTACCTTCTCGCGGCTGTCAGAAGTAACTATTCATGCGAGCCCTTATTTTTCACTGCTTTATTCTATGCAGTTAGGTGCAGCTGTGGCCCACGACGCAGTGTTATCATTTGCCCGCGGACTGCAGACACTGAGCAGGAGCCGAAATCTGGAACCCAAGCATGACGCCACGTGTCAGCCAGGCCGCGTTGCCTGGCCCTATGGACTCTCGCTCGCCACGCAAATCAAAGCGGTGGGTGTACTTTTTTTTTCTGGCTAATTTAGGGCATAAGTATTCTCGATACTGAAAGCTTTCATCGGCGTTTACGGATATTTGTTGCTTGGGCTTCATAAAACCCTTCGCTACTTCACCGACATATCTCGGTATCACTGAACAGCAATACAGTCTGCTACGTCAAGTGGTGTGCCATCCTTCAGGCTGAGGTCAGCACTTGCCATGGGGGAAATAGAAAATGTTGAACGTGGGTGGATTCTACTGTTAGCACCTGGCTGTGCTCCTACCTAGCTCACCCGAAGAAGTGATTGTATAGTTGAAGACTTATTTAATGTTTCAGAAATAAAAGCAGAGATAGTACTCGTTAACTTGTTTTTTTTTCACTATTCGATATATTTCATAATCTATTTTCTGATTTCCTAGCAATGACACCGACATATTTAAGCGGAAAGTGTTTTGTACACAAAAAGTTTACTGACATTGATTTCCGTGACGAAAGTTACGTAGGTAAAATTCACACAAACAGAATAAAAGAAATGTTGTTCACGCTCCACGACCTTGAACAAAAGGCATCTATTGCATCTATCTTTGACGATTGATGCCATGCCCAGAGGCGTAGGCAGAAATTTGTTTCTTGAGGTGGGGGGGGGCAGGAGGGGCACTTCTTTGATCTGAAGTTGGGTTTGCGCAGGCAGGCGGTCCATTATCATTCTAAGATATATATTCTATGGTAGAAAAAAATTTGGGGGGAGGGTACGGGCCTGTTGTGCCACCCCCTGGCTATGTCACTGGCTGGCCACTCTACCCTAACGGAGCACAAAAACAAGGCTTTGCGAGTAGAACTCCTCCTTGTCACAGTGATTTTTGTCTTGGAAGGAGTGTAACATATTTTACTGAAACGAATGGGTGCGAATCGATGGTACTATGGGGGCTGGTTGGTGCAATTGTACCAACCAGCCAATGCAGCCTTGATTGTTAAGCCTTGTGAAGTCCTTAACAATTGAAGGTTAACTTTGGTTGCCAACGAATTGTATTTTGAAAAAAAAATGGGCTCCCATATTTTACAGCGATGTTTCAAATACTTTCATTTTTTCTTCAGATACGGTGTTATGATATAATAGGTCTTTGTAAAATGCAACATAACAGCGCTTCTTGCTTTGCGCAAATACTCGTGAAGAACAAAATGAAATAAATTGAATATTTGAGTATTCCGTTCCAGTGCTACCTGAATGTTTGTCTGAAGCGCACACCATCGAGATTTCAATGAATGCAGTGCACTCCTCAATATCAAGCTTTGTATAGAATTCAGTGTGCCCTATGTTGCAAACTACATTCAGCAGGCATCTTTTAAAATTGTCAGGAGCAAAATGAATATGAGGCTCTATTTAGAATTGTTGAGTAATTCTGGCCCAGTGCTACTTCAGTGTTTCTCTGAAGCGCACTCTTTCGAGCTTTCAATTATTGCTATCAAGGTTCAGTATGAACCTTGATAGAATCCAACAAATCTTAATGTTAGAACTACATTCCGCATGCAGTTTTAGAGGATAAGCAAAGTTTGTTTATTTTTACTCCAGAAGTATAAAAATTCGGTTCTCATTGATTAAAGCGCTTGAGGAAAGAGCTAGCCGAAACATCGAACGTTTAGGGAAAAACTCGCCAAAAGTTCACACACAAACAAATTATTCACACGGTGGCTTGTGTTCTCTTTTTTATATAAGGTGGTGTCGCTTTATTGTTGAATATATGGTTTATGTTGCAATTAAATGATGTGACAAGATGGTACTTATTAGTATATTCTATACATTACTACGCGTCACCATCCATGTAACGAGAATGATTTCTTCCGTTTCAAGATGCGGATGCGAAAAATAGGAGCGTCGTTTCGCCCTTTCTAATGCTAGAAGAGTTTCCTGCTTGCATTGTCGTCGTTGCTGGGAGACAACAGGCAGAACCTGCACAAGACAGCAAACCTGGAAGCAATTCCCTGCTGCGCTAATTGTCGTGCACAGGCTGTGGCCCATATTTGTGCTTCTCTTCACCAATCTGTTGGTGGCACGCCCTTAATCAAGCCTCCTTTCAAACGCAGGCCTACCAGGCGACCACTACGTCTGCAATTCTGTGGGTGTATGCAGCATAGCGCACGTGATATTCCATTTATAGAGACAGACCCTACTAACATAGTTCAATCCTAAAGGGACGGGTTATGTGAACACGCGCACAAGATGGAAGCCAGAACACCACAAACACATACTAACAACTAAAGCAGCTCACAATGGTGAAGCAAAAAGAAGACATGAAAGCATATTTGCGCATGCCCATGAAATATTGGAACCTATCAGTGTGGCACGCGTGGGGTTCTACATGAAAGTTAAGAGATGCGGAATTTGAGTTCATCTTTATGGAAGGTAATCGACGGCTGGCTGTCATTTGCTACTGCAGTAATTGCTATATTCTATGCCTAACTCATCCAATACGTTGCTTTTTTCCTCTATATTTACAGAACTGTGCGTTCAGCAAATTTAGGAATGGACTTAGGCTCTCGACATAGTAAAGAAAGATTAGAAGGTGAGGTTATGGTTAGTGATCTCTCGTGTTCCAATAATCTCTGTTTGATGCAGTGGCTCGTCAGTCCAATGTAGGAGCTGCGGAAGCAGCAAACTTCCATATAGCACCGCGTGGTAGTTTTCCCGTGCGGCACGGTTACGATCACCATCGATTCTTACCAGTACCAATCGCACTTCGTACATATCCACTTAACACTGTAAGAACTGCACGCAGTCAGATTATTAAACACCTCTAAACATTTACTTTTAAACTATAGTTGTGTCTTATTAAGGTAGTTTATATGTCATTGAATTCAGCACAAGGGCAAAGATGCGCACTAAGACGATATGTTAACTTATAAGCGGGTATATCGGGGAGTGAGTGAGTAAAAACTTTATTGAGATTGTCCGGCCGTATTTAGCGGGGTGGGGCTACAAGCACCCCAGCCCAGGTGACGGCCTCGAGTCCTTGTACACGAACGACTTCCTAGGCAAGCTGGACTGCCCACAGTTGATCGGTGAGTTTGCGGCTGAGCAGAGCCGCCTCCCATCGCGCCTCGCGGTTCGAGACTGCCATGTCTACCCGGTTCGAAGGGGACTGCTGCACGCTCTCGGTGCACTCCCACACCATGTGCTGCAGCGTCGCTCTTACTCCACATGCTTTACAGTCATCGGATGCATAAATGTATGGGTAACAGAGGCGTAGGATCACTGGGTTCGGGTACGTGTGAGTCTGTATTTGTCTCCAGGCAACCTCCTGTTTCTTGTTTACTTTTTCGTGTAGTGGTGGATATTTGCATCGGTTCAGTCTGTAGTGTTGGCTTATGTCTCTGAAAGTTGTCATGCGATCCCCCAACGTCAACTCCCACATTGTTCTCGATGTCTGCGAGACGTCGGGGCTGCCGGTAGGCGCCACTGCTCGGCGTGCAAGGCCTGGAGCCACGGCGTGGGCAGTCGCGTTGCCCGAGAGTGGAGGATCTGTGTGGGCGGGGGTCCATTCGAAGAAACTGTCGTTTTTGTCGGAAATATTGCCTCCGGAAATTTTGAGAGTGTGTGCTGCTTCGCGGGAGATCCGGCCGCTGGCGTAGTTGCGTAGGGCCGCCTGAGAGTCGCCTGTGATCACTTCGGCGTCCGTGGTAGCTATCGCGAAGGCTATTGCCGCTTCTTCCGCCACCTCCCTTTTTTCCGTGCGTATTGTAGCGCTCGCGATGCAAGTTACTGCGTGATTCGTGATCACTACGGCAAAACCGCGTTTCCGCTCGTAATGGGCCACGCCTACATAAATGGTGTCTTTACAGTAGACGAATTTGTTTTCTAGATCTTGTGGACGTCTGTTGCGCCGACCGATGTGATGAGTAAAATGCATATTCCTCGGCAATAGCCGAAAGACAATGCGCTCTCGAATGTGTCTTGGTATTCAGATCTTTTCGCCACGCTGCGTGTAGTAGTCTCTCAAGGATGTGTTGACCGACTGGTTCTGGTTCTCGCCAAACGTTCGTACTTGTTGTATGCTTCGATTAGGTCATCTAGGGTATTGTGCAACCCCAGCTCGAGAAATGCTTTTGTGCAAGTAATTATTGGAAGCCTATTTCGCGTTTGTATACCTTGCGGATGAGATGGCCAAGCTAAATTCGTTCAGTCGCCTGCCACTTGAGGTAGGAGGCAATGTAAGTTATGTGGCTCATAACAAAAAGATATATCAGAAGGATGGTATTGCTTTCTTTCATTCCGTTGTGGCGATTTGTTATTAGTTGCAGTAGCCGGAGCGTTCCATTGACAGCACCGTCTCCTCTGCCTATTGTTTCACCGTTGTGGCCATTCGCTGACAGGTGCAAGCCTAGTACTCTCATGTTGTTAACTTGTTTGATGTTGGCACCGTCCGATGTTACTACTTTATATCTCCGCCTGTACGCTCGCTGGAAGAATCGGCCTTCTTGGGTTTACGGCCCTGCATGTGGGTCCGTAGAAAAGATTCAGAAAAACAAAAATATATTGGCGACAAAGATATATGACAGAAGCTGAGCAGTGCAACGAAGCTCAGCGAACCAAGAAATTCCAATAAAATCACACCAAAGTTAGAAACAAATTCAACTGCAGTCCGTCCCTCACTCTTTTGCCGGTACGGCCCGATAATAGTGACCATCTTTTCAGGTGGTGCTGATCAATAAATAGAAAATATTCGATAAGCCAGCCATATAGGCTCCTATTTTCTTGATTTAGTAATAAAGATCATGGCCTAATTTGGCTTTAGCTCAGATTTACGTCTTGCTTGAGCGTAAAATATTCATTCAAGCATACAATAAATAAATAACAACGATTCAGTTTTTCCCAGTGAAGGAGGAGGTTCGATAAAAAAGAAAAAGAAATGCTATGAAGGCTAATTTAATTATCGCTGACCTTTTCGGGAGCATTTCGCGCCTAATTTTCTTATCTGTTCACTCCAGTACTTTCTCTATTTCTAATCTAATTTAGCGC